AGAAGGCCTCGTCAACTTCCTCACCCTGATCCGGTGGCCTGTAACAGACCCCCACAACAGTATCGCCCCTGCCAGCCTGCCCCTTAATTCTCACCCACAGACTCTCAACTCGCTCATCATCTGTCCCCGGACAGAACTCAACGCATTGTAGCTGCTCTCGCACATAAAGAGCAACCCCACCACCCCGCCTGGCTGGCCTGTCTTTCCTGAAAAGGACATAGCCCTCCATGACTATATTCCAGTCATGTGAGCTGTCCCACCACGTCTCTGTAATTGCCACCAGGTCATAATCTCCTGACTTAACACAGGTTTCTAGCTCCTCCTGCTTATTTCCCATGCTGCACACATTGGTGTACAGACATTTCAGGGAGCGAGCTGAGCACACCGATTTCACCCTAGGATTACAGGAGGCCTCCCAGTCTTCATCAGTTCTGGAGTGCTGCCCCACCGGGGCAAGCCCAGCTACAACCCCATCCCCCTTCAAATCTAGTTTAAAGCTCTCCAAATGAGCCCTGCTAATTCTTGGCCCAGCATCCTTTTGCCTCTGTGTGATAAACCTTTCCCACATGCCAATGTCCAGACTGGTGCCCTCTAAAACCAGCTGTTATCAAAGAATCCAAAGCCTTGCCTGTCCTTACAGGATGTTGTCAAAAGCCCCTCTCCAGATTTTTTGTCATCCCCTTCAGGCACTGGCAGTTGCTCTAAGGTCTCCCCTTAAGGAGCCTTCTCTTCCCCAGGCTGAACCAGCCCAGCTCTCTCAGCCTGTCTCCAGAGCAGAGCTGCTCCAGCCCTTGCAGCATCTCTTTGGCCTCCTCTGGACTCTCTCCAACATCTCCACGTCCCTCCTGTGTTGTTGCCCAGAGCTGGACGCAGGACTGCAGGGGGGGTCTCCCCAGAGCACAGCAGAGGGGGAGAATCCCCTACTTCAACCTGCTGCTCATGCTCTGGGGATGCAGCCCAGCACATGCGGGGGCGGGGCTTCTGTGCTGCAAGTGCACGCTGCTGGGTCATGTTGGAAGAGGAGAGGGTAAGGTTAAAGTGGCTTTGAGGGAGGAAGAGAATGAGAGAAATAATTAAGAGAAGTGTTTGTACCCTGTAGTAGCAGTGGAAGGGAGTTGGCAAGATGAAATTAAGAAGTCGAAATATAAGTCCTTCAGCTTAAAATGATGGCCATCTTTGAATTCTCAGGTGAAATGTAGAAATTGAGGGAATCGTGTTCATATAGGGCTTTCATATCTCTTGGGTGTTAATGATGTCAGAATCATGTATACAAAACAATGCATGGATTTATTTACCAGCTTTCACTATGAGAAAGGAAGTGCTGAAATTATTTTGGGGGGCTTGAAAGTCAGCTCAGGAGTATGAGGGACTGAAAAAGGCAAGGCACGATTTTCAGATGCTAAGAAGTAGATGTTTAGTAGTAATGAGCAAAGGATTTGCCATCTCCTTCATGGTTGCAGAAGGGCAGCAGGAAGGACCTCTTGCTCTGTGGACTTTTGGAGCTTGCAGGAGTTCTGAGTCTGCATGCAGGGAAAACATGCTGACAGAACAGAGACATCTGGGTAGAACAAGGTTGCAGGCATACTTCTTGGGGTGAGTTTAGTGGAGAAAAAGATGACTTGATTCAGGCTAATTTGATGAAGATTAGCTTTGTTTTTCTTCAGTCTTCCCAGGTCCTTTCATTTCTGTTCTTGTTCTTTGTATTGTATTTTTCAGTTTTGTTTTGTGTGTGTGTATTTTATTTTGTTTCTGGTTTAGCCAGAAGTTTCTGGATTCCTGTCACATCAGGGATACAGATCAGAAGTTCTACAGCCCTGTGGCTATATCAGGTAATTTAAAACTGCTTCATTAAATATGAAGCATAGTCTAGGCTTGCTGTCCTTCACTGTGTGAACTGTGGTGTCTTTCTTATCTAAAGAAAGCTAATGCTTCTGAGAGACTTGTTTTTACCTCTTAAGGCTGAATAGAGAATCTTGCAGTTCTTGTCTGAATATATAGGTTTGTTGTGTGGTTTATTCACCCTTAGAAGTCTCAAAGACATGGACTCTAGGGGTCTGTAAAAGGTAATTGAGCAGAGAAAATCTGCTGCTTAGTAGGCTTTCCATACAGTGCCTTGCAGCTTCGCTCAAAGCTTTACAGATTTGCAAAATTAAAGTAGTTGAAAACCACTGATCTGAATAACATGCATTTGCTTAGCCTGTGTTATTGAATAAGAAATTATACGTAGAATCTTCTGTGGAGAGAATAATGAATAAAGCATGAAAAATACCCTTCATTGCAAGTTCATCAGGAGGCAGAATGACCAAAAAGATCCAATGTCACAAAATAATTGAAATCTGAGGATGTATTTCACTGTCTTAAAGCAATCACAGTAACCCATTGATACTCATCAAGTGTGGTAAAAAGTAATTTTATGGGTAGGAACCTCTTACTCATGAGTATACCCCCAAAGTTTCCTAAATTTTACTAGAAGCTTGTGTTTCTTCCTCTTCCCCTCCCCCGCTTTCATTTTTCTCATCTGAGACTGCATAATCCTACCTTGCCTTGCTCCTCAGTAGTGGACCTGCCAGCTGTTTCCATCACCTTGTTATGACACTGTTGCAAGCCTGTTTTTTGAAACTCGGGTCACACTGTCACCTGCAGAAGGAATTACGGGATTGTGATCCAGTTGAAGTGACTTTGAAGGGTCGTTTTTACTGATGCAGAAGATGGCTGATAGCAGCACATCAGAATTTCTCACAAGTGATGTGTTGACATCCTTGCTGGAAAACTGGCACTGACTTAGTATTTGTTTACAATCTTCTTCTTACTCCATTTGGTCCTTACATTTCCTGCAGAGACTCTTGTCTTTTTTCTCTTTTTTATCAAATTATCATCCCAAGCTGAAGGAAGATGAGGGGGTGGAGGCAAAACATGTTCTATGCTGTGACATCTGGAATTGTTGGTTGGGCATATACTGCCATTGATCTTGGCTATTATTCATATATTCTAAGCTCTCAATTACTTGGGTTAATAGCAGGGTGGAATAACTCAGATAAAGCAAACACCTGGATAATATGAAATACGTAATTTATGCTGTGAGAACAACTTCAGCATATCTGATTCAGAAAGAATAGTAAATACACTCCACACAATGGAGCAATCAGTTGTTTTTAAATACTACTGGAGAGCAGGGTTGCTGTGAACAGTATATGCTCTGTGTAAAGTGCTCTGAAGTCATCTGAGGGGGGAAAACAATAGACATAGTAAATCCACTACCTTGAAGCTCACGTATGGGTGATTAATGCTTGATAGAAACAGCCAAAAGCATCTTTCTTGCTGTCGGGAAGAGATGGAAAGGCATGGCTCCTACCTGGCTGGGTTTAAGAGGCCGCAGTCTGTAGTAGTGGCAAACTGAAAAGCAGTGGTAAATGGGGAAACTGCAGTTTAGGGAGGTCCTAGATGCAGAAGATGTGCTTTTGGAAGAGGGGGTAGGGTTTTGTGGTTCATCACAGGGATTGGGAGCCAAGAGGAAATCATTCCTGCTTAATTTTTACCAGCATCAGCAGTTGTGATTGAAGATAATAAAAGGAATTATTGTGTTGTTGCTTATAAAATACTGTGTACTGTGGAAAGTGCTGCTGCTTTTGCCTCCCAAGGTTTTATTTTACGGGTCAACTTCGGTTGCACGCTAGAGCAGAATAATTATGACTGTGGTTATGGTTCTGAGTCAGCTCTGCTTCCAAAATTATTGAACTTCTTGAGGGCATTCAGTTGAATCAAACTTTATAAATATCTTCTTCACACACATATATGTATATATCGATATAGATACCAATATAGATATTGATATAGGTAGATATATCCTGTGGAAAATACTCCTAATTTGACCCATTACTTAGGAACAAGTTTGCTAGCAGGCCCAGACACCTGCATACAAAATAAATATATAACATTAATCTCTGAATATTTCATGTTTCAGAAAATTTTAGTGCTGGTTGTATTTTTAATGAAGCAATAATGGAGCTGTGTATGCCTAACAGAAAAGTTTGAGGATTTGGGTGCTCCCCCAGAGAGTTTGAAATTGAATGCACTGAAACAAATATTGTGAAAAGTCAATAAAGCAGTTTTAAATCCTACCTAGCAAATCATTCTGTTTAGTCTAAGACAATAAAGAGTGCCCTAGATTTGTGCAAAGGGCAGTCAGCAGTATGATTAACCTAGACAATCATGACTTGATTTGTCAGAAGCATTTAGTGAGGATCTTGCACTTCACATCACGGTCCTGACTACCACATGTGTATGTCTGAGTCTGAAATAATTTTCAGGCCTTTCATGAGGGCCTGAGACCCATAGTTTACTCAGGAATCTAATACAATTATTAATGTTGATTCTAAACTAATGTAACTTTTGGGTTGGTCTCATCCAGTTCTGTCAGGGAGTTTCAAAAAGTCAAGTAATTATAGTCATGGTTATTTCATACTAGAAGTAAAATCACATAGTTTGAGTATACTCTATTTTCATTTTCCTAAACAGCCTGTTTAAATTTATAGCACTAGTGGAAAATAATAATGTATATTTTGATGTGTTGGTTTGGTGATTAGCTGTGCTAAAAATCTGTTCCACTCTTAGAGCAGTAATTCTTAGTCCCATCCCTGCCCCATATCCTGCAGTGGTCATAAGAGAACACTAACAAAACCATACTTTTTCAATTTCATCAGAGACTGAAGAAGGGGTACTTTCTTAACCATTTAGTGGATCAGGATAAAGTAACAGGAGAGCTGGATTTTATTCTGAGGTTTGTCACAGTCATTGTAGGAAACTGGGAAGTGAGTCATAAATCTTGTTTTCCCAAGCAGTAAATAAAAAATGTCATCAGTGTTGTGTTCTTTTATTTATTTGAATAAATTTTAATTTCTCCCTTGATTTTTTAATTTTACATAACTATTGAGTTCTCTAATGTGAGACTGTTAGGTCTGTGCCCAGATTTAAAATATAACATTTAAAATTCTTCCCCCCAGCAATTTCAAACAGTTGTCAAGTGAAACTGAACATATGACAATAAATGGGACAACAATGAAAAATCTTGAAATTATACAGAATCAGGTAAGAACAATGTAGTGTTATTTTTAAAAAATGCCGAGATATTCGCAGCTGTTTGACATGCTGTTCCCAAGGATGTTTTTTAAGTTAGTTTGTAAGTCTCACTGAGAAGGTTTAAATTATTTTAAATGGGATCAACCTGAAGGAGGATTACATTTTCAGAAGCATAAATGAATGTTAATGTGTGCTGGCTTTTAGTATGAATTAGGAAACTTACTGCACTTTGACTAGCAAAGAGCTTTCCTAAAGTTTGAGTTCTTGAGCCAGCTGCAGTCAAGAGATACAACTGCAGTAGGCTTGCTTTGGCCTTTTGTGCTACTGCACAGACCTTTATGCTCAGACGTAATTTAACTCATTCCAGTCATCTTCTGGAAGGACTTTCTGGCTAAAGGAAAGACATGCTTGAGTATTTTAAGATACATACCTACTTTATGTAGAGCATTATCAGTGAACAAGTTCAGTAAACAAATGTGTATTTGCCATATCTTAAAGTCTAAGCAGAATGTTTAAGTAGTGTGGTGAATTTCTGTGATGTCTTTCACCAGAATCCTTCAATCATAACTGGTTTGAACAAGTGTTCAAAGCCACGTTGGTCAGGGCTTGAAGCAGACTGGTCTAGTAAAAAATGCAGAGGTTTGGAACTAGATGAGCTTTAAGGTCCCTTCCTGTCTGAACCAGTCTGTTATTCTACATCGTTGATTTTTCAGTTAAAAATAATAATGCCATTTTTTTATTTTTAGACTGATATGAAAACAAAAGGAAGCCTACTCTGGGTCTTGGATCATACTAAAACTTCCTTTGGACGTCGAAGATTGAAGAAATGGGTAACCCAGCCCCTCATGAAATGCAGGTGAGGTAGTTCTGTATCTTGGCCTAAATCTGTATTTTATAATTATGATGCTGAGTATGGCCAATCTATTTATTTTTCACGAAGGCCTGAGATCAATAGTTTACTCAGGAAATAATAGAAGATGTGGACGTTATAATATATAGGCTAGAAAGAATTAAACATCTCTGGGCACAGAACATCTAAGTAGCTCAGAGTATTATATTTGGAGCAAGACAGAAATTCCTATGCAGAAATCACATTGGATACAAGTTCTAATTCGATATCATTTTTAAGACAATGGGTGAGTATTGCCTTCTATTGGAGGATGTCTTATTCCCAAACTTGCCAATTAATTTTTTATGTCTTTCTTGCATCATAAGCATTTACATCCTTAATATATTTAACTTATTCTAAAGTAACTATGGATGTTACCTGTGTATACAGTGTATTGCACAGGAAAGTATTTCTTTTCATTAATTATTAAATGTGACGATGGGTTGGTCACTTTCGTATTTTGAGGTATGCTTTATTTATTGCTGCTTTATTTTGTAATACACTTGTTTTTTTTTTTACTTGTTTGTCTTGAAACGGACTCCATCTTCCCTGATTTTTCTTTGCAGGTTTTATTGAAGTGTTGTGCTTGAATATGTAGTAAATAACAGTATTGAGTCCATGGCCTGTTTGTTGCCTGCATTTTAAGATTTTGGATCTGTTCCTTTGTGCGTTCCCTCAGTGTTGTCAGTGTGCAATCTATTCAGTTGCCACTTTGTTCACTTCAGTTACGGCATACAGAAAATTCCTCTCTTTTGGTTACCTTAATTAGTTTTTCCATCTGTTTTGTAAATGTATTAAACAGTTTTACATTTTTATTAATTTTTAACAGTTTTGAATAGTGAGATATACCAGTATTTTAGCTGTTGGTAATTTACAAATCCTTCTAGAGAAGCATTTTTTTTCCTTGACCAGAGATAATATGATTTATGTTACAGCACTATACTTCTGAATAATCGTTGCTTAATTTTCTTATTAGTCTTTTTGTAAGGATCTTTTCCCAGTAGTCTTAGAAAAATACATAACTTTTTTCCCTCCTATTTTGTTAATTGAGACTATTAGAGACCTTTTTCATTTGCAGGAGCTTACTGGTTAGACTGTTTAATGTTGCAGTTTCTGACAGAAATTTAATAAATCTATTTCAGTATGCCTTTAAAAAAAATAAAAATCTTTCTGATAATAGCTTTTATGTATCTTACCCACTTCAAAAAGGCTTTTGATGTAACCATCCTAAATAGTATTAGGCTTTATGGAAGTTAATTATGTACCTGGTGTTCACCTTAAAAGGATATGTATAGATTTTTGGGGCCACTTTACAATAATAAATTGAAATAAATTGGTTTATTTCTTTTTCTGCCCTTGAGGGCACCTTGTGGCCTCTGGGGAATTGTTCCTGAAGTTATCAGCTGGGGGAGCCAGAGTGCAGGCTCTGGTCTGGCATGGTGGCAGCACAGAGGGTGGGGACCTAAAAAAGGGGTGCCTTAATCAGTTTTGCTCCCAGATGATCACATATCTGATGCAACAGCTGAAATACCATTCAACAGTCAAATAGACAAACTTCCTATCTAGACACAGAGGACAGAAAACTGATTGCATGGGGACTTCAACCCTTCCTTCTTAACCAGTAAATTTAGTTTAAATTCTCCCATGCCTCCAGCTTTACAAGGTTGCAGGTTTGGTTTCTTGTCTTTCTCCTCTGCTCTTTGCTACTTCTAGACACTGATGAATGTTCCCTTTTTCAGCCTTCTTAGTATGAAAGAAGGTTTGTTGGTTGGAGATGGCAGGAGTCCTCAGCTAAACCTAGAATGCTATTTTGTTTCTGTGTATTTCTCCATTTCTGAATCCTGATCTGTAATTTCACATACTTAGTACATCAGACATTCAGCGGTATTGTTCCAATAATGCACACAAGTGCACTTAGAGAACATTCTGTAATTGTGATTCACCTGTGCCTCCTGGAGTGACATTTTTAGAGGGAGATTTCTGTACTGCATCTTTTGCAGTCAGTGGGTAGGTGCAGTTTTCTTGCTGTATCAAAAATGAGAGGGTGTGATTATTGCTTTGTGCCTGATAGTTGAAAATCACTTGGGATGATAAGTGAATTTCCACTGGAGAAACCATACAGTAGGTTGAATAAAGGTAGAATGTGTGCAGGGAGCTCATTTGGACAAACTTGGAGATAACCATTAAATCATCAGTGATGTAACACATTCAGAGAATTACAGTAAAAGGTTTAAGCATTAGACATTTGCAATTTTGAGGTAAAAAAAAGGCTTAACCAAGAAGGGTACAATGTCCTTGCTTGTTCAATACAAAGATAATAAGAATGTATGAGTCATCAAGGACTGAGCATTTTAGGAGGAATTAGGAAATTTATTGGGTTTTGTAGGAGTTAATATCTTCATGGATCACAGAAGTGTTATCTTGCCTTGCCTGTCTGCCTTTGAAATGTAAGTTCCGTCTGGTGCCTTTCTTGCCTAACTTCTGTGAGGGGAGCAGAAAGAAAAGGAAAGTGGGGGGAGGAAGAGCAGGGAGTGAGCAAGTGGCTGCGTGGTTCTGGGTTACTGGCTGGGCTTAAACCACTACACAATGCTGCTTGCCCAGTCTGGAGGCTAAACAGAGTAGGCAGTTCTAGAATAAATATTGCATCCATTGCCTCATTCAGTGTTAGAGACTGTGTCTTGCTCAGCTGTTGATTCTTGCACAATTTTGCAAGAAAATTGTTTACTTAGTACCAAACAAACACATTACTTGACCTTGTCAAGGTGGCTAAATTAAACAAAATGGTCAAAACTGGAAAAGAGAGAAAATAGCACAATTATTATCTGGCAGATGAAGTTGCAAAGCCACTGTCCATCATATTTGAAAAGTCATAGCAGTCAAGTGAAGATCCCAACAAGAGGAAGAAGGGAAATACAATTCCCATTTTTCAAGGAGGGGAAAGACGAACACCCGGTAAACTACAGGTCAGTCTCACCTCTGTGCCTGGCAGGATCTTGAAGCAGATTCTCTTGGAAACCATGTGAAGGCATGTGAATAACAATGAGGTGGTTAGTGAAAGCCAGCATGGCTTCACTAAGAGCAAATCATGCCTGACCAATTTGATCGCCTTCTATGATAGGGCCACCATAGAGCTGATGAACAGGGGCAGAGCAGCTGACATTGTCTGTGTGGGCATGTACAAAATGTTTGACATTGTCCTGCACAACATCCTTGTCTCTAAACTGGAGAGACATGCATTTGATAGGTGGACCACTTGGTTGATAAAGAACTGGCTGGATGGCCGCACACACAGAGTTGTGGTCAAGTGCTCAATGTCCAACTGGAAATGGGTAACGAGTGGTGTCCCTCAGGGTTCGGTGTTGAGGCTGATGCTGTTCCACATCTTTGTCGGCGACATGAACATTGGTGCACTCTCAGCAAGTTTGCTGATGACACCAATCCGTGTGGTCCAGTTGACATGCTGGAGGGGATCCAGAGGGACCTTGACACGCTTCAGAGGTGGCCACTGCCAACCTCATGGAGTTCAACAAAGCAAGTGCAGGGTCCTGCACCTGGGCAGGGACAATCTCAGGCACAGCTACGGGCTGGGCAGAGAAGAGATTCAGAGCAGCCATGCGGAAAAGGACTTGGGGACCTTGATTTATGAGAAACTGAACATGAGCCGGCTTCAATGTGTGCTCGCAGCCCAGAAAGCCAACTGTATCCCAAGCTGCATCAAAAGGAGTGTGACCGGCAGGTTGAAGGAGGTGATCCTGCCCCTCTGCTTTCGTGAGACCTCACTTGGAGTATTGTGTACAGTTCTGGTGTCCTCAGCATAAGAAGGACATGGAGCTGTTGGAACAAGTCCAGAGGAGGGCCATGAGGATGATCAGGGGACTGGAGTACCTCCTGTGTGAAGATAGGCTGAGAAAGTTGGGGCTGTTCAACCTGGAGAAGAGAAGCTGCATGGAGACCTCATAGCAGCCTTCCAGTGCCTGAAGGAGACCTATAAGGATGCTGGATAGGAAGCCTTCATCAGGGACTGTAGTGGTAGGACTAGGACAAGGGGTTTAAACTTAAAGAGGGGAAGTTCAGGTTAGATATAAGGAAGAAGTTCTTTACTGTGAGGGTGGTGAGGCACTGGAACAGGCTGCCCAAAGAAATGGTAAATGCTCCATCCCTGGCAGTGTTCCAAGTCCAGGTTGGACAGGGCTTGGAGCAACCTGGCCTAGTTGAAGGTGTCCCTGTCCGTGGTAGGGGTTTGGAACCAGATGATCTAAGGTCCTTTCCAGCCCAAACTATTCTGTGATTCTATGATTATGTGGAGGTTTATTACTTCCATATTACATCATGCTGTAAAGCTAGTAAAGCGGTATCTATGTACTTAAAAGTGTAACTTGGATAATTAATGATGTATGTATAGTACTGAGCAATTTATAGCCACTGTAGGGGAATATGTGTATAATTCCATTCCTGTGAAGAGAACTCTGTGGCCTGTATGTATAGAAAGTATTGCGTAAGGGATTACCCCCCCCCCTTCCCCCCATGTTATATTTCTGGAGAAGTAGAATAGCTTTTAAATGCCAGTGGGTGGACATCATGAAGTGTCATTTCTAGTACTGTAGCCAGGGAGAAGGTAGAGACTTTGTTATCTAAGTGGAAGATAACCTGGAAAATGCTGATGCTTGCCTTTGTTGCAGAAGTGCTTAGTTTATCACTTAGAAGAGTATCTAGTGCAAGATCTTAAAACCTTGGGGGTGGGGGAGTAGTAGACGACTCCAGGAAGAACAGTCTTCAATACCTAAAGGAGGGCTACAAGAAAACTGAAGAGGGGCTTTTGACAAGGGCCTGAGGGGCTTTTGACAAGGGCCTGGAGGGACAGGACAAGGGGGAATGGTTTTAACCTGACAGAGGGGAGATGAAATGAGATCTTAGGAAGTTCTTCCCTGTGAGGGTGGTGAGGCCCTGGCACAGGTTGCCCAGAGAAG